GAGCTCACTATGTAGACCAGCCTGGGCTCAAACTCACAGAGAACAGAGGATGTTTCTGGTGATGTTTCAGAAACCTTACTAGGGGTGCACAGTACACAGCTTGCTCTTTTCATTCAGCCAGGGAGGGACTTTCCGCTTCTCTACTCCACGAAGTCCCTCACCAACATTCTCAGAGGCCTTTCTCCAGGGTGATTTTAGTTATTTTTTTAGTTTTTTGGTTTTTTTCAAGACAGGACTTCTCTGTATAATTGTGCCCATCCTGAAATTCACCCTGTAGACCAGGTTGGCCTCAAACTCAAGAGAGTCACCTGCCTTTGCTTCCCAAATACTGGGATTAAAGGTGTGTACCATCATGTCTCACTTCCAGTGAAGGAACCGGTGGAACAACAGAGGCTTGATGTCCTTGGATTGTCCCTTTCTCTGCTGCTCTGGGGGCCTGATGTGCAAGGCCTGCTTGACCAAGAAGCGACTGGAGTAATACCCGCGCTATGAAACGAGGTTGCGCAGAGTCCACTTCTCCTTCAGGGCCCCGGGGCTGAGTGTGCAAGCAGCGAATCAGCAGGATTCACCCAGGCTGCTGCCCTGTCCTGGCGAAGCCACTGAGGTCCCACAGCACCTGAAGCCAAGAGTTAGCTCAGGCCTGAAGGCACACAGTTCACAGAGGAGCGGGGACCAGAATCTGCCCCAGGGACTCTAGACCCCTCCACTGCTGTGGCCCATCCTCTCACCTAGCTTCGTGCTGTATACTTTAACACACCCTATACATGGTGGAGGAGAGGACAGCACTGTCAATCTTAAAAGCTTTATCGAAAATCCAGAGAACCCCTGTCTTGATGCTCTAGGTAACTGCTTCTCTGATACTTGTAGTTATTGTAATTTTAAAACCACTTTAGCTGGGCAGTGGTGGTGCCTAGCAGATCACAATTGTCTGTACCCTAATTCCAGGGGGGTTGATTCCTTCTTCTGCATCAGGTATGCATGTGCAAATGTGTGTGCCTGTGTGTGTGCGTGCACACATGTGTGGACAGTCACACTCATACTATAAAATAAATATCTTTTAAAAATAATTTTATTTATTTATTTTGTGTGTGTGTGGGTACCCATACATGCATGCCATAGTATGTGTGGAAGTAAAAGACAAATTGCTTGCAGGAGTTAGTGCTTTTCTTCCGCCATGTGGGTTCCGGGGACAGAACTCAGATAATCAGGCTTAAAAGCAAGTACCTTTACCTGCTGAGTTATCCTGCCAGACTATAATATTTTTTAAATTTATACGCAGTATAATTTAAGGTGCAAAATATGTTTTGATTGGCTTATCTATCAATCATCTATCTATGCATCTATTTATTTATTATTTAACTTTTTATTTACTTTATTTTTATTTATTTATTTATTTATTTATTTATTTTGGCTTTTCAAGACAGGGTTTCTCTGTGTAACAGTCCTGACTGTCCCTGAAATCACTCTGTAGACCAGCCTGGCCTCAAACTCATGAGATCTGCCTGCCTCTGCCTCTTGACTGCTGGGATTAAAGGTGTGTACCACCATCACCTGGCTAACTTTTTTTTTTAGAATAAAGAAGTATGTTTATTATTATTATTACATCTTTTTTTACTTACAAGCTTCATTATAAGAAACATTTAAAAAATCAGTTTTTTAAACTTTTCAAAAAAAAAAAACCTGCTGAATGAATGATGTTCTATTCTGCTTTTCTGTTGCTGTGATGAACGCCACGACCAAGAGCGACTGGGGAGGGAGGGTCTGTTGTCACCTTACCTCTAATAACAGTTTGTCATGGGCAGAAGCCAGGCAGGAACTCACGGCAGGAACACGGTGGAAGAAGAGTCTGTTTCACCTTAGAGCTCACCAACTGTCGTGAGCAGAAGCCGGGCAGGAACTCACAGCAGGAATGTAAGACTTTAAGACAATTCTGAAACCATTTCTGACAATTCTGAATCCTTTCAGCCTCCGTGCCATAGTGCTTTCTCTCCTCCCCTGGGAACCAAGGACCTAACAGCTACACATGCATTTATGCATGTGTATATATATATATGTTATATATATATAGCATGCATGTGTACATGTTATATGGGTAACAGAACAATTACCCATATACGTATGCTTTGATTCAGTCCCCTGGGAAACGGGGTCAAAATGACCTCTTACCTCATCTGATCTGGCAACAGCTCTTCAGCCAATTATTGGTAACAGCCCTTTTGAATAAGCCAATCAGAATAGTCAAAGAACACCCCCCCCCCTTGCTTCTGTGGCCTTCTCCTTTAAAAGTAGCCTGGGCCAGTTATTCGAGGTCTCTCGGCTTCCCAAATGCTGAGGGACCCTGTCATGACAGAATTAATAAAAATCTTCATGCTTCTGCATCGGCTATGGTGTGAAGGGTGGTCTCTGGGGACGACTCCTCCTCGGTGTTTGGACGCTAGAGTCCAACAGGAACATGGAGCAGAGACCACAGAGAATGATGCTTATTGGCTTGCTCCCAGGCTCATGTTCATCCACTTATATAGCCCATGCTCACCCGCCCAGAGACCGCACTGCCCTTGGTGGCCTGGCAATCAAGAAAGTGCCTCAGAGACAAGCCCACAGCTAATCATTCAGTTGAGGTTCCTAGTTTTCAGAGGTGTCAGGTTCGTAACATGACTATCCAGGACAATTCATAATTCTTTAAAGATAAGGCCTTTAGCCTGGGCAGTGGTGGCTCACACCATTAATCCCAGGACTTGGGAGGCAGAGGCAGGTGGATCTCTGTGAGTTCGAGGCCAGCCTGGTTTACAGAGCTAGTTCCAGGACAGCCACAGCAACACAGAAGAACTAGGTCTAGAAAAACCAAGAAAAAGAAGCGTCTTAGTCAGATGTGGTGGCACACACCTTTCATCCCCACATTCCTTAGACAGAGGCAGGCAGATCTCTGAGTCCTTTTTTTTCCCCAAGACAAGGTCTTTCTGTGTTTGAACTTGATTTGTAGACCACGCTGGCCTTGAACTCACAGATTCACCTATTTCTGCTTCCGTAGTTTTAGGATTAAAGATGTGTGCCACCCTGTCCTGCTAAATATTGAAATTTTTTATTTTTTCTGGTTTTTTGAGACAGGGTTTCTCTGTGGCTTTGGAGCCTGTCCTGGAACTAGCTCTGTAGACCAGGCTGGTCTCAAACTCACAGAGATCCTCCTGCCTCTGCCTCCTGAGTGTTGGGATTAAAGGCGTGCGGCACCATTGCCCGGCTAATATTGAAATTTTTAAGATACATTTTTTTCACTGGGCACCCGCCTTTAATCCCAGCGCTCAGGAGACAGAGACTGGTGGATCTCCATGAGTTCAAGGCCAGCAGGTCTATTAGAGTGAGATTTTTTTTTTAAGAGACAAAAACCTTTATAAAAATTAGAATTACAACCAGCATGAACAACATTAAGCAATAAATATATGCTAAATGTTTAAATGGTTATCCTATATTTTTTTTTTGACAGGGTTTTTCTATAGCTTTGGAGCCTGTCCTGAAACTAGCTCGCAGACCAGGTTGGCCTTGAGCTCTCAGAGATCTGCCTACCTGTGCCTGGGATGAAAGGCAAGAGCCACCAGAGCCCGGCTACAGAGTGAGTTCTGTGACAGTCAGGGCTATACAGAGAAACCCTGTCTCAAACAACAACAAAAAACAACAACAAAAATTATTTTGTGCATGAATGTGTGTGTGTGTATGTGTGTGCAAATGCACTCAGGTGGGAGTGTTTGCTTGTGTGCTCTGTGGACCCACTGAACCATTTCCCTGGCCCCTGTTGCTCTTTTATTTCACAATGGCTTGTTGCTTTGTATGCATTTAACATTGGGGGTTGTGTTTCTTTCCAACAGGAAGTAGAATCAACCAAGATAAACAGGATGTGGTTGTGCCTATCCGTAATCCCAGCACTTGGAAGGTGAACACATACATGCATGTGCACACACACACACACACACAGGCACACGCGCATGCACACACTAATTTAAACAAGACAAACAAAAAGTTAGTATAATGGCAAATGCCTGTAACACCAGCCTTTTGGAGATTGGAGGCAGGAGGAGTTCAGGGTTATCTTTGGCTGCTACATAGAGAGTTTTAGGCCAACCTGTCTCAAAATTATAAAATAAAATGAGCAACCTAATGTTACAACTCCAACTAAAAGCCTTAATTGAAGGCTTTTCTTCACATACTTTAGCATCCGTAGTTCAGTCAGTTTGGGTCCTTCGCATACAAATAGAAACAGAAACAGCCACAACAGAAACCCAAAGCACCATGTAGGGACAGAAGCTCAGTGAGTCCGAGCGTGGGTGCGGGTGACGTTCTGACATCTGGATGTGCAGGGGGCTAGGATGAGAGCTGTGGGGAAAAAGACGAAAGCAGACTCTTACGGGAGATGAGGATGTGTGGGCTGCTGAAGACAGGGGTTGAGGGGGCCTCCCAGTGATTGCAGGGAGCGTGGAACCTAGGGGAGATGAAACCTAGAGATTTTGGTAACAACTTCTAGGAGGAAAAAGGAGTGAAAATCAGGGCGATGATGCGGAAGGGGTGAAGGGCACGTCCCAGGAGGAAGAAGGAATAACTAGGTTGTTCTTCCAACTTTGCGATCAGGATTCGAGCAATGGGTACTCAGCAGTCAGGTGACAGCACCCATGAAAATATGGTGATGTGGGATTGGAAGGGTGGCTCAGTGGTGAAGAGCAGGTGATGCTCTTCTGAACAGTATTCCCAGTAACAACGGAGAGGGGCGCACGGTCGCCCGTGACGCCAGCTCCAGGGGACCCATCGCCTCTGGCTTCTTCAGGCTCCCACACTGATGGGGCATATGTTCACACAGACACATACTTCTTTTATATGCTAATATTAATTTATTTGTTCATTTGTTTTTGAGGCAGGCCTTCATGCAGCCCAAGTTGACCTCAGACTTATAGCTAAGGATGAACTTGAATTTCTGACCCTTCCATCCTCCATTTCCTAAGTGCTGTGATAACCAGCCTGCACCAGTCTAAACAGGTTATGTGAAGCTGTGGTTCTGGGGCTTGAATCTGGGGCTTTGTATGCTGTGAGCAAGACTATGACTACTCCCCAGTTCCCATTTCTTTTGGGGGGTTTTGAGATAGGGTCTCACTTACTAACCCAGGTTGGCTTTGAGCTCATAGTAGTCTTCCTGCTTCAGCCTCCGAGGTGCTAAAATAATAGGCATGAGCCACCATACCTGACATTTATAGGATCATGAACTCAGAGATACAGACCAGGGGCCTGAATCCTGGGGCAGAATTGGCCCTAGATGCAACCCTCCAGCCCTCAGTGTTAAGAAAACAGCCCTTGGAGGAGACATAGGCAAGAGGCCAAGCAAGGATGATAGGGGAAGGACGGTTCCAGGAGACAGAGCGGTAACCTAAGCCTTCATGCACTTAAACACTGACTCTGGAAAAGGCTGGCCAGCACGCAGGAGTGTCAGTGCGAGAGAAGGTAGAAATGCAGACTCAGTTCAGTATAGACGGCCTTTTGGGAACTGGGCTAAAGGCCACATCTGCAGGATAGGGACATTTTTATCTTGAGAAGGGTCCAGGAGAGGGTGTCACTACTGCTGCTGGACCTAGTGATGTGTCTAGGAAGCCATGGTCCTTGTAATGCGTGGCTTCAACTAGCGGTGCTTGGTCGCTGGTCTCCATCGCCTCTTGGCCTTGTGTTTCCAAACTGTCAAAGAAGAGGGTGTTATGGTCTTGAATGGCAGGGGAAATTTCTTCCTTGGGAGGATGGGTTACTGGGTGGGGTGACCACTGTCACTTGTCATCAAAGGCCAAATGTCCACTGAGAGTTAGACAGTACCTAGAACTGGAGATTTAGCAGTGGACACTAAGTCTAGACTCATTCCCGAAGAGTAGACAGACTTAGGATAGTCACTGGCTTTTCCTTTCTTGGGATGTTTAACCTGTTGAGCAATACTGGATGTGATAGTCCCCCTGGGGCCGGGGAGAAGCCAAGACCATCTCAGGAAGATGGGGAAACTATTTCTTCACCTGGTACACCAGTCCTACCTCACTCACTGCCCAGAGCCTCATGGGGCAACAAAAGTCTGAAGCAAGCCCCAGCCCACGCCCTGGCAGGCAGCCAGCAGCAGAAGGCTTCTGGTTGGGCTTTTGCATCAGGTTCAGGCTGAGCATAAAGGAGGCTCTCAGGCCTGGAGGAGGCAGTCTTGGGGACGATGCAAGCTCAGAGGGACAACCCTTCCCTGCGATGGTCACTATCGCTGCTGCTGCTGCTGGGCCTGGTGTTGCCTTTAGTGTTCCCCCAGACCCTCAGCTACAGGGAGGCTGTGCTCCGTGCTGTGGACGACTTCAACCGGCAGTCCCTGGACACCAATCTCTACCGCCTTCTGGACATGGATTCTCAGCCCTCAGGGGTGAGGCTGGGGAAGAGCAGGCTCTAATCCAAGGCATTCTCCCCTTTTAGTGTGGTCATTTCTTTTCCGAGGACACTCCCTAGATCTGTGTCACAGACTCAGAAGTGCCCTCAGGTGCATTCTAGTGACTCCTGGGACCTCCATTCCAGGGACAGTGGAATCACTGGCCTCAGGAATTGGCTTCCTTTGCTCTAAGGTTGTTGTTGTTTTTTTTTTTTCATACCCAATAAAGGATTCTGCCTAGCCTTGAGGTCCCTAAGTATGTGCCTGATCCTCTAGGAAGACCCTGGTTTCCCTCTCCCTTCCCAGAAGGGGAGGAGGTGCTCTTCCTCACAGCTGGCTGAGGGCTGTACCTACTCACTGTAGGTGTGGGAAGGAAGAGGGGGGGCTCATTTTCTCTTCCCCGCTGTACCCCAGCACTAGGCCTTGTTTCAGCACCTAGCATGCGATGTCGGAAGGCCACTCTGTTAGTGTCAGGGAGATTGATTCTCGAAGCTGAGAAGGGGCCCAAGACTAGTCTCCCTACTCTTCCCATGACCAGGATGAAGACCCAGACTCCCTCAATTATGTGAGGTTCAGAGTGAAGGAGACAGTGTGTGACAAAGCAACGTATCAGACACCTGAGCAGTGCAACTTCAGGGAACACGGGGTAAGGCAGAGGGCCGGCGTGGTTGGTGGTGGCACCTGAGGGAATATTTCCATCCATGGGGCTAGGGTTTAGGCAACGTGGCAAACGGGTTCTAGTTTGACTTTGCCCTTCCTCTTCTCAGCTGGTGAAGCAGTGTGTGGCGACAATCAACCAGGGCACAGATTCTTTTACAGACATCAGCTGTAAAGGGGTGAGTGGGATACAGGAGGTAATGTGGGGATGGGATGTGGACATGGATTAGCCTGTGGACCAGTTACTCCCTATTCTACCCAGAACAGAGAGTGCTCCACCTCATCCCCTTGATCCTCCCTTGTGCCTGAATTTCAGCTCCAAGACTGTTCTGTCATCCCTTAGAGCAGTGACGTGACTCCAGAGCAGGCTCATACTTACCTGGGAGGCAGAGGCAGCTATAGGTTCTAGGTCAGCCTTTTCCATAGAGAGTTCCAGGCCAGACATGGGTACATGTGAAGCCTGGTCCCAATAAACAAACAAACAAACAAACAAACAAATAAGTAAGTTTGTTTTTGTTAGCCAGAACTTGTTAGGGATGTGGATTCTCGGGTCTCGCTGGGTTTTAACAGGACTCAGCTGAGGATCCCACCTGAGTTTTAGCATTGCCCTACTGGATATTCTGAGTCCTGCTAATACTGACAGCATCCTCAGACCCCAGGGAGCCTCTTGCCATTCCCAGGCCCCAGTGTTCTCATCTTTTATTGGGCTGAAGGGTCGAACTACATGTCCCAAAAGCTGCACTAGGGTCCAGAGGCTCTGGGAGTAGCCCTGAGTGTGGTCTAGTTGGGAGGACCTTGGGTGCCCTGGGAGCAGTCTCACAAGGAACCCATCTCTTCGTGGTCCACAGCGTGGGACACAGCCCCAGCAGTTCAAGAACGTTGGCAGGATTGCTGGACTTCTCCGAAGAGGTGGGCTGAAGATTGGTGAAAAGATTCAGAAACTTGGCCAGAAAATCCGGGATATTTTTCAGAAAATTACACCTGAGGGAGAGAAGTAGGCCTGCCTTGGCTTGTTTCTGGATTTCAAAAATAATAAATTTGGTGAAGGAAACTTCTCAATGGCTTTTGTCTTCTTTTAGCTTTAACTCTGGAGGCTCTCTGAGCACACGTGTGTGAGCCATCATTTTGTACTCTGTGTGTGTGGTGGAGGGAAGAGTAGTTTGAGAGAGAGGACGGTAGCTGCTCCATTAGAAGGTATATTTAAGGCAGCAGGGCAAGAGGTCCATTCCGATATATATATACATATATAATTTTTTAAATATTTATTTATTTATTATGTATACTATATTCTGTCTGTATGTATGTCTGCAGGCCAGAAGAGGGCACCAGACCTCATTACAGATGGTTGTGAGCCTCCATGTGGTTGCCGGGAATTGAACTCAGGACCTTTGGAAGAGCAGGCAGTACTCTTAACCACTCAGCCATCTCTCCAGCCCCATATACATATATATATATTATTTTTATATATTATATATATCATATCTATGTAATAAAATCTGGGCAGTAGTGGCACATTCCTTTTTTGTTTTGTTTTTTGTTTTTCGAGATGGGGTTTCTCTGTGCAACAGTCCTAGCTATTCCAGAACTTGCCCTGCCTCTGCTTCCCCTGTGCGGAGATTAAAGGTGCCACCATAAACAACTCAATCAATGTATTTTAAACTTTTTAAAATAAAATTTATGTATGTGGGTATTTTGCACGCACTGCACGTGTGCCTGTGGTCAGAATAAGGGATCAGATCCCTGGGACTGGAGTTATAGATGGCTGTAAGTCATGTGGGTGCTGGGATCAAATCCAGGCCCCGCTAACAGAGCATCCAGTGCTCCTAAGCTCTGAGCCTCTCTTCAACCCCAACCCCTCATATTTTTTCTTTTTTTTAATTTCAAGTATGTGTGTGTATGTGCGTGTGTGTGCGCGCGTGCACACCTGCATACTACAGCTCATGTATGGAGGTCAGAGGACAACTTTGGGAGTCAGTTCTGTGGGACCGGGGTGGGGGTCACACGACAAGAATACCAGGCTACTGACTCCTGCATAACCAGACAGCACCCTGCCATCAGGACTGCAGGGCAGTGGCCTCAGGGGTCAGTGCAGGGCCCGAGCTTCTGCACCAGTATGCCAAGGGTTCTCCTTGGAACTGTGGCTTTGGATCCAGCTCTCTAAGAGTACTAGGGGACGGAGTCACTGGAAGACCAGAGTAGTCTCAGGTTACTTCAAGTCTATGGCTCTAACCACAGCCTCCAGAGAGTAGACAGATTTCCCTGGGTCTAAAGCTTGGTATCCTGCCTCCAGCAGGCTCATAAAATGCACCAAGGTTTTGACTCCAGCTGGTCACCCTGGGGCTAAGTGTCCAGCCCCACCCTTGGTCCTGTGTTTCAGGAACCTTCCCTGGTCAACACCAGGCATCACCAGTTCCTAAGCTGAACTTCATACAGATGTTCTGTTAGGAAAAGTCCGAGAGAACAACAACCCAGCAGGCTTAGAAAGAGGAAGTCACACCCATCACCTACAAGGCCTTACCAACAAAACAATGCCCATGAGGGAATCCCAAGTTACAGAGAGCCAAATGCATGTCTGTGTGAGGGTGCCAGATCCTCTGAACTGGACAGTTGTGGGCTGTCTTGTGATAGCTGAGGGTCTTACCCTCGGAGTCTTAGTCAGAAGCTCTTTCAAGATCTGCCTTCTTTTTTTTTTTTTTAAGATTCATTTACTATGTGTACAGCATTCTGCCTGCTCTTGTAGACCTGGCTGGTCTCGAACTCACAGAGATCCGCCTGCCTCTTGCTTTAAGCAATCTTAAGTTTTAAATTATTTATTTACTGGGGAGGGGTGTGTGGTGGTTTGAAAGAAAATGGCCTCCAAAGGGAATGGCATTATCAGGTGTGGAGGAAGTGAGTAACTTTGGAGGCCGGCTTTGATGTCTCAGGTATGCTTAAGCCGCACCCAGTGAGAGAATTCACTTCCTGCTTCCTGATGGTCAGGATGTAGGACTCTCAGCTCCTTCTCCAGCACCATGTCTGCCTGCACACCACCATGCCCAACCATAGTGATAATGGACTAAACCTCTGAAAATATAAGCCACCTCATTAAATATTTTCCTTTAAGAGAATTGCTGTGGTCATGGTGTCTCTTTCTTCACAGCAATAGAAATCCTAAGACAGGTTGTATAACTAATTATGTCTGAAATGACTACTTCTAATTCTGAAATAGAATTAGGAATTAGGAGTTAGGAATTCAATTTATAGGGCTGGAGAGATGGCTCAGAGGTTAAAAGAACTGACTTCTGTTCTGAAGGTCCTGAGTTCAATTCCCAGCAACCACACGATGGCTCACACCCATCTATAATTAGATCTGGTGCCCAGAACACTATATACATAATAAATAAATTAAAAAAAAAGAAAGGGTTTCTTTGGGGGCTGGAAAGATGGCTCAGTGGTTAAGAGCGTTGCCTGCTCTTCCAAAGGTCCTGAGTTCAATTCCCAGCAACCACATGGCTGCTCACAACCATCTGTGGTAGGGTCTGGTGCCCTCTTCTGGCCTGCAGGCATACACACAGACAGAATATTGTATACATAATAAATAAATATTAAAAAAAAAAAGCTGCAGAGAAATCCTGTCTCAGAAAACCAACAACAACAAAAAAGAAAAAAATAAATTGGGGGAGTACAATTTAAGCCACGTTAATGAAGTTATATCTGTAGCGCAAATTCTAATTAGTCTCAATAATAAAAACCTGGAGTCAGATGCAGCCAGCCCTTAGAGTTCTTACCTCTACGAAATCCTCAGACCAAATGTGGTATCCTGTCTCGACAGTCCTCAGACTGAATGCCTTGAGCTCCTCTCTCCACCCAGCCACATCTCTTCCTGTCTCCACCTTCCTAGTGCTGGGATTAAAGGTGTGAGGCACCACTGCTTGGCCTCTACAGCTAACCAGTGGTTTAGCTCTGCACTCTGATCGCCTGGCAAGTTTGATTTGTTAGATCACAAAGTAGCACCACAAATATCTTTGGGATATTGACCTGTATAGAATATATCAACTAGGAATTTGGGCTTGGAGCTATGGATTTGATGTTTGATCTAAACTTTTGCTTTTAGTCCCAACCCCTCATATTCTTATTTTTTTTTTAATTGTTTTTCATTTCTTGTGTGTGTGTGAATGCCTGCACATACCTGCATACTACGGGACATATGTGGAGGTCAGAGGAACTATGGGGTCAGTTCTGTGGGACCCGGGGGTGGGCAGATGACGGGAATACCAGGCTTCTGCCTCCTACATAACAGGACAGTAAGTCAATTCTATCAACCCACTGAGAGAATCTTACATGACTCTCTTCAGTTCGCACAGACCAGAAACCGGGCTCCAGGGCAGATGCAACGTCCAATGGACGACAAAGAAAGCTCGTGCAGGAGTGCTGCCGCCCTGGAGGATGCAGCAGGACAGAATTTATTTAAAAAGCCAGGTCAAATGCTGGTTACATGGTCACTGCACTTTCCTGGCTAGTCAACAGGCAGTAACCTTGAGGAAGGATGACAGTTCCTTGCAGAAAGAGGAGTCACCAGTTGGGCAGGTGGTGGTGGTGCACAACCTTTAATCCCAGCATTTAGGAGCCAGAGGCAGGAGGATCTCTGTGAGTTCGAGGCCAGCCTAGTCATAAAACAAGTTCTGGAATGGCCAGAGAGAGCTGTTATACAGAGAAACCTGTTTCAGTACCCCCCCCCAACACACAAAAGAGGAGTCCCCAACCTTCCCAAATACCCATGAGTGTTCCATAGAAGAGGTAGCGAGAACTAGATTGTAGCAGCTGAGCAGTGATATGCTAGGTCTTTGGACAGGTGATGGGGTCCAAGAGAGACAGTGCCTTCAGCCCACGATTCCCCTCAGGGACCGACAGGACTTTACTAGGCTGGTCCCGGGCCTCCCGTTCCAGCGCACAGTGGATCCCTTCCTCTGGACTGTACCACACAGGACCACAGCGCAGCTGGGGCTCCTCCTCTTCATACCAGCGCTGTTCACTGAAGTCAGGGAAGAAAGCTGCGATCTCTCTGCTGGCGGAAGCCACAGAGTCTATGAGGAGAGGAGAGGGAGAGAAGAGCTACTTAGGAGGTTAAGGCAGGAGGATTGCAAGATTGGGACCAGCCTAGGAAACAATGCAAGACCATGTCTCCAAAACAAAAAAAAAAAAAAAACCAAAAAAACCCAAAACAACAACAACAAAACGCAACAAGGAAAAGCCCAATGAGAGAGAAGGGTTATCACAGGGAAGGTAGGGTAGAGGCAGTCAAGAGAGCATCAGGTTCCGAAACCTGCTCCACTCAGTACAGGCCACACGGCGGAGACGGCTATCCAGGGCAGAAATAGATGGAAACAAGCTCAATGGAGCGACCACCACTGTCAGTCTCCTCACATGGCTTACTCGTCTGCCCCAAGACATCCTTCCTCAAGTGTGGCTGTGGATGAGAGGTTGAGACTCACCTGAGCCATGGGTAGTGTTTCGGGTGTCAGTGAGGCCCAAACTCCCACGAATTGAATCTGGGGCCATGTGGCGTGCTCGAAATACTCTGGTGGGCCCCATCAGTGTCCTCCAAAGCTGGATGGCATCTTTGTGGGCAAGGATGTAGGCTCGGATTGGCCCACTGAGGATAAAGAAGGGATATGACCACCTAATCTAGACATGTTGTGGACAGGGCAGGAATGAGTTCACTGTACTTCCTGAATGTCTCTGTCTTCTAGTGAGTACTGAGGCTGCTTCAAAGGGGAACTGACCAGGAGAGGCCAACTGCTGATGTGCAAAGAGTGATGGGCAGAGTTGCTAAGCAGCATTCCACGGTACTCCACCATAGCCATTGGCTCGGTAGCCACAGGACAAGCACCTACCGCTTATGGGTCAGTGTAGCTCAGTCATGACTCTTCTTTTAGTTTTTTTGAGACAGGGTTTCTCTGTGTAGCCCTGGCTCTCTTGGAACTTGCTTTGTAGACCAGGCTGGCCTGGAACTCACAGAGATCCTCCTGCCTCTGCCTCCCAAGTGCTAGGATTAAAGATGTATGCCACAACAACTGGCCTTAGTCATGTTTCTTTAGACTTGACAGTGATTCCATCTTTAAAGGGTGGTAAGTGAAACTGGCAATTCTATTCATAGGGAAGAGATCTGCCATAGCATATAAAGATGCTGATACCCCAAATTAGAAGTACCTGGCCATGAACTCCACCAGCCGCTGATAGAAAAAACGCCCTGCAAAGAGAGAGTTCCTTCATGAGAACATGGCGCCCAGGGAAGTTTTTCACTGTTCACTACCTGTAATACCACACTGCTTACAGAGATAACAAGAATCTTGGAGTATAACTTTTCTGAGTGTGGATCTAGATTCTGCCACTTACAATGTGTACACTTTTGGTTAAGTCAATAACTTCCCTAACGTGTCTTCCAAATCTATACCTTGGGATATAACATTAGCTTGCTATGATTAGAGGGAAATTTTTTATCTTTCTATGCATGCGCGAGTGTGTGTGTGTGTGTGCGCGCGCGCGTGCACGCGCACGCTATAGAATACTACCTGCCACAACCTTTTCTAAATCTGAGAAAATTAAGTGAAATAATGAACATTAGGGAAATGTTTGACAAGATAAATGTTTACCCAATGTTAATTACTGATATTACCAAGGCATAATATTAAATTTCTGATTGGGACTATATAGCTCTCTCCTAGGAAAAGAAAATGCTGATTATCATGAGAAGTCTGTGCAGAAGCAAACATGAGAAGACACGGGCTGGGGAGACAGCCTTGTAAAGGGCCTGCATTACAAGCATGAGGATCTGAGTTTCCAGAACAAATGCCAGGCATGGTGGCACACATTTACAGACCTAGGGCAGGGGAGGCTGAGGCAGGTGGCTGCTTGGGGCTCAGTGACCAGCCAGCCTAGCCTACTTGTTCAGTTCTAGGCCAGTGATGGCCTGACCGGGCCCGGGGGTAGAGGGGGATGGTGGTGCCTGTGACTGACACCTACGGTTGTCCTCTTGCCTCTACATGGACAGAGGTGCACCACATACACACACACGCACACACACGCGCGCGCGCGCACACACACACACATATACACACATGCACACACACACACACACACACATGGGGTGGGTGGGTTGTAACGCAGACTGCAGGCCTGACCTTCGTGCTCTTGGTAACACACACACACACACACACACACACACACACACACGCACACACACACACACACACACGGGGTGGGTGGCTGTGACGCAGACTGCTGGCCTGACCTTCGTGCTCTCGGTAGAACCTGCGGCAGTCTTCCTTTCTCCACTGTAGTTCTCGTGTCCGCACAATGAGGAACTTGTTGCTCAGAATCTGCTGATGTACAGCCTGGAGAACAAACCATTCCAGAGAGAGAACTCAGTCAGGACTCCAGCTGTCTAAAGGATCTCTTCACATGTCTGCCCGTGATGGGTGCTATGGTCCAGATATTAAGTACCCTTCCACCCCGAAGCTCATGTGTTAAGGCCGATGACGGTCACGGGAACTTCAGAAAGTGGGCCTTCCAGAAGAGAGTGCCATTAGGACTGTGCTCTTGAAGGAGAAGTGGAGCCTCAACTTTTCCCCTCTTGATATCCCGGTCCCTGCAGTAAGCACTTCTCACCACAATAGCCACCCTCAGCAGAGGCTGGAAGAGACAGGACCGAGAGCCACGGGCTAAAACCTGCGAACGTCTGAGGGAAAATGATCTTCCCGTGTGTGTGGCCCAGTGGCAGAGAGCTGACTAACACAGAGGTGAATGAGGTGAGGTCAGGACCTCAGCTATACTGCCAGAGTATGAGCCGCAGTCCTAGGGACAGAAGTAATGTCCCTAGGCCCCGCCACCCAGAACACCACACAAGTCTTTTTAATGGTCCTGTCCTCAGTTTTTCTCAATTGTTCTAAATCATGATAAAAAACTCTATAACTTATTTACACGTCATGCTTTGGTCAGAACGTCCTGGGTAGTTTCTACCATCATGAGTGTTTTGCCTGCATGTATTTCTGTAGAGCGTAAATGTGCCTAGTTTCTGAGGAAGCCAGAAGAGGGTGTTGGATTCCCTGGAACTGGAGTTAGAGATGGTTATGTGCCAACATGTAGGTGCTGGGAACCAAACCCAGGTCCTCAAGAAGAGCAGTTAGTGCTCTTAAGGGCTGAGCCATTTCTCCAGCCTGAAATGAGTCGTTTGAAGCTATCAAATTTGGAATGTAGCATTTGATAACTAATATATATATAATATATATACACACATATATGTATATATAACTAAGTGATACATTTAATTAAAACTAATATATATAAAACACTAATATATACATGTTAGTTAAATATATTCAGGTAAAATATATATATTAAACTATGATAATACACATACACAGACTATAGTTTTGCCTTTTTTTTTTTTTTTTTTTAATTGGGACTGGGCATGGTGGTATATATCTTTAATCCTAGGACTCTGGAGGCAGAGCCAGCCTAGTCTACACAGTTAATTTCAGGCCAGCAGCAGCTACACAATAAAAACTTGTTACAAAAAAAAAAACTGGGGGCTGGAGAGATGGCTCAGTGGTTAAGCCATCTCTTCCATGGCTTCCAAAGGTCCTGAGTTCAATTCCCAGCAACCACATGGTGGCTCACAAAAAAAAAAAACTGATCAAGGAAGATGGTTCAGGGAGTAAGGGCATTTGCTGCGCGGGCATGAGGACTCGAATTCAAATCTGCACACTCATGTAAAATAAATAAAAATATGAAAATGCAAAATATTTTATTTCTTGTATTTTAGATATACCTATTTCTTTTTTTTTAACTTTTTTTTTAAGATTTATTTATTTATTATGTATACAACATTCTGCCTCCATGCATGCCCGAACACCAGAAGAGGGCGCCAATCTCATTACAGATGGTTGTGAGCCACCATGTGGTTGCTGGGAATTGAACTCATGACCTCTGGAAGAGCAGTCAGTGCTCTTAACCACTGAGCCATCTCTCCAGCCCAGATATACCTATTTCTAAGAGTAGTCTTCTAAGGGTCAGAGTTCACAGCCCTTAGCTCTTCTTTTCATTTTCTTTCTTTTTTTTGTTTGTTTGTTTTTCGAGACAGGGTTTCTGTGTGTAGCTCCAGCTGTCCTGGAACTCACACTGTAGACCAGGCTGGCCTGGACCTCACAAAGATCTGCCTGTCTCTGCCTTGCCACCATGTTCAACTAGCTTTTCTTATTTACGTGTGTGTGTGTGTGTGTGTGTGTGTGTGTGTGTGTGTAGGTCAGATGACAACTTGCAAGAGTTGGTTCTCTCCACCATGTGAGAGCCACAGATCAAACTGAAGCCTTTATATGCCCAGCAGTCAAGCTGATCCATCTAGCATTTCAGCCTCAGCAGCTAGCACACGACTGAGCTGTCACAAGTGGTCCTGTAGCATCCAAAACAGGACAAGGGAGATGTAGGTTCATTCTTACCTCCAGAATCAGTGGGTGGGCAACCGCATCAGGCTTGATCAGGGCTAGTGTGAGCTGGAGAGCCTGAGGGCTTCGCAGGATGGAAGTCATCTCACCCCTGCCGTCAGAGGGCTGGATTAGAGCCTCAGGGTATTGAGTTCTTAGCCCCTTCTACCCTGGAAGCCAGGTAGGCTTGCAAGTCAACCAGGGGCTTCCCCCAGCCTCACAGCATTGTCAGGCTGTATGTGACCACTCACTTACCTATTTGCACTCACAGGACTTTTTACTACATTTGTTTGTAGAGGGGACACTCAGGTCACCCTGTGAGACATACAGTCTACTTTATGCTACAAGTATAAAGGCAGCAGGGAGTTCTCCACTGAAGAGAAATGTGAATTGATACTACCACCTGATTTTGCCAGAACTTTCACATCTTCTAAACTTTTTTGTGTTTTTAACAAGTTTATGACATCTACTATTGAACAGTCTAGCCATAAGACTACAATGACTTAGCTGGGCAGTGGTGGCATATGCCTTTAAACCTAGCCTTTGGGAGGCAGAGGCAGGTGGATCTCTGAGTTTGAAGGCAGCTTGGTCTACAAAGCGAGTTCTAGGACAGTCAGGGCTGTCATACACAGAAGTCCTGTCTCGAAAAAACAAACAAAAAAGACGGCCATAAGGCCTTATCTATAGTGTTCTTCCAGTCACAGAATTGGAAGATAGACTGACAAGAAAAATTAGGCCACCCCAGATAAGAAAAAGGCTTCAGGGCCATACACCATCTCTTATTTAATATTATGGATGGTCTTCCCTGCTCAACAAACAACTCTGGGAATAACTAACAGACAATATTTCTAGACTTGGTTAATGGTTAAGCATCAGGGGTCACTTTCAACTGTGACATTCTATTTACACATGAGAAACCACTTCGTCGGGAGGAAAGATCTCAGCCTGTAATTCCAGCACTTAGAGGCTGACTATAGAGCCAGACCCTAACCAAACCATTGCAAACCAACCACGGCCCCGAAATATCATCTCTAACCTGTTAACAAATACAGAGAAGGTGTCCGGGGACAGGAGCAGGGCAGAAGTTCTCATTACTTTCAGCCTGAACATAGCTTAGCCAATCACAGTAAAGTGCCAGGGGATGGCTATGCTAAGGTCTCTTCCACTCAGTCTTCTTTACAGTTTATTACTGGAAGATCCATTTAGACTGCGTACCCGAGCCCAATCTACCAGTACAGGACCAGCATACCCGCTTCACCTAATATTCTAGACGATAACATGGCACCGTGGCCACTCTACACGGGGATGTCCTGAGACCGCCAGTTTCTAACTCCCCGCCTCCACACTATTACCAAGTTCTAAAAATCCTACCTATATAATACACCTCAAAGTCCACACAAATCTCTTCCTTTTAACTGCGATTACCCCTTCGTCTGGGACTTCTGTGCCACTCTCAATGGTGTCTAGGCTTTTGCTCTTGCCAGTCCTAAATCTGTTCAACCGCAGCACAGCAACAAAAGCCATTACACAGTGCCCTCCTTCGGTCAGGGTGTTCTGACTTCTGAAGACTTAGCCCCCCCCCCCCCCCCCCCCCCCCCCCCCCCCCCCCCCCCCCCCCCCCCCCGCAAAGTCTCCAGACTTTTACTCTGCTCTGGTCTTCTGATCCCACAAGACTTTAACTTCTCTGGCCTCATCTGGAGCCTCACAACCCTGAACTCATTTGCTCCAGTTTCATAGGCTTTTCCTGTCCCACGCCTTTCTTGCCTGACAGGCGTTGTGGAAGGAAGTGTCCACGTCTCTCGTGGGTTTCCCCTGTTTTCTCCTACAGGTGATCCGTAGAGGGGGTGTGGTTCCTTTACAAATCCCAGTTGGTTAGTGTTGTCTTGGCAATTGGTTTACAAGAAAATGCTGTCTGTCACATCAAGAAAGGCAGGAGGAGCTTAGTAAGTTCAAGGCCAGTCTGGTCTACACACCGAGTTCCAGGACAGCCAGAGCTGTTACAGAGAAATCCCCGTCTCGAAAAGCCAAAGAAAGAAAAAAAGAAAGAGAAAGGAAGGAAGAAACTGGCTTGACTTAAAGGTCACCCTATCAGACAGCGGCCCCGCCAGCTGAGGCCATTTCTTTTACTCCCACGCTGGTCACGCACTTGCTGGCCTCTCAACGCTACTTCTGCCCCACTTCTGTGACCACGCCCCCCAGCCCCCGTCTTGACTCCCGACGGGCCTACTACTCCCATATTCTAGGCCTCAATCAGTACGATCTTCTCCACTCCCGGTCAAAGCCCACCCCAAACTCAGCAATCCCGGCTCCAGCGCGGGCCTGGGTTCTGGGTTCACCTGGTCCTCCCGGCAGCGCTCTAGGCCAGCAGGCACTGAGCTAGTTAGCCTGCCGGGTCCTTTGGGGTTCTTCAGGCACGTCGCCGGGCAGCCCTCCCCGGGTCCTACCTACTGTCTGGCGGCGGTAAAGTTAAGTGACGCGTGTGTGTGTGTGTGTGTGTGTGTGTGTGTGTGTGTCCTACTGTCTAGCGGCGGTAAATTGAGTGGCGCGCGCGCTTGTGCGTGCGTGTGCGTTTGTGTGTGTGCGTGTGTGTGAGACTGAGGTTGAAAAGGAACAATAATCCGTTCAAGACTTGCTCGTTTAGCTTCAGGGCTTGGATGCTCAACATCGCACTCCTGGAATGTTGGAAGCGGGGGTGCCCGACCGACAGCTTGCTTACACAAGGTGTCTTCCAGCGAAAAGTCCATTTCTTTCTTATTTATTTATTTATTTCTTGGTTTTCGAGACAGGGTTTCAGTATGTAACCCGGCTGTCTTGGAACTCTCTCTTTAGACTAGACTGGTCTCGAACTCACAGGGATCTTTGCCTCCTGAGTGCTAGGATTAAAAAAGTGTGCACCACCATCGCCTGGCCCATTTCTTTATTTAAAAAAAAAACCTTAAAAGAATTTTTATATTACCCCACATGTATGACTGGTGCCCATGGAGCCCAGAGAGGGTGCTGCTGGATCCGTTGGAAATGGAATTACAGATGGTTGTGAGCTTACACTTGGGAGGTGGGATTATAACCCCATCCTCAGGAAGAGCAGCCAGTGCTCTTAATGGCGGAGCCATCTCTCCAGCATGAAAATCCATTTTTTTTAATGTTTATGGTGTTTTGCCTGTGTGTATGTCTATGCAGCATGTGTGTGCCTGTTACCAGTAGAGGCCAGAATAGGTGATCAGCCAACAGGGACTGGAGTTACAGATATTTGTGAGCCACCATGTGGGTGCTGGGTATCGAACCCAACTCCTCTGCAAGATCTGTGAGTGTTGTTCAATAATGAACCATCTCTCCAGTCTGATAGCTGCTCTTCCAGAGGACCTGGGTTCAATCCCAGCACCCACCTGGCAGCTCACATTTGTCTGTAGCTCCAGTTCTAGGGGAACTGGCATCCTCACACAGATGTTCCTCTCATGGTATAGTTGTTTTGAGACATGCTGAGAGCTATATGGTTCACAGGACACATATCCAATTTAATTATGACCAAAGTCCAAATATTGCTGCTACTGAGCTATTTATTCCCTCACTTTGCATTTCATTGGTTATGTGGTCATTATGGGAAAATATGGAGGGGTGAGGACATAGAATATCTGATGTCTTGGAAAAGCTCTTGCTGAGTGCTGATGGCCCATGTTATTTTCCAGCACTAGGGAGGCTGAGGCAGGTGGATCTCTTGAGTTCAAGCCTGGTCTACATAATGAGTTCCAGAACAGCCAGGGCTACAGAGAAAAAGAAAAAGAAAAAAAAAGAAAAGAAAAGGTTCTTATTAATTGAGAAAATGTTTACTGACCAAGCTTATGGGAGAATCATTTATTGAAGAAGGAAATCAATGAATTTGATCCAAGTACCTTTTACCACCAGGATCCATTTCTTAATGAGCTATTCTTTTTTTCCTCCAAACATTGGAGGTTGAACTAAGGCTTCATACATACTAGGCAAATACTCTACCAGGAAGTCCAGCCCCTGTCCCCCAAATTTGGTATCTTTGAAGACTCAGCCATCATGCTTCACTTGGCTGTCTGAGGATTCAGTAACTTTTAATTGTGTCCAGAGTCTTCCCCGGAGTAAATCTGTAAGAGAAATACTTGCTTAGAGACACTGCAGTCAGTGAAATTACGAGAAAACTACTGTCTGAAAACTGTACAACCCACACTCCAGGAGGATGCTGACCCCTGAACTGATGCTGATGGGAGACATTCTGATTTCATTGAGGATGAAAAGATAACTGAGTAGATGTGGGCAGAGAAGAGAGCAGAGGGTGGGGGTGCCTGTGATTCTGAGGACTGGGAGCCCCTCAGGGTGCCGCTCCAGCAGAGCAGATGGAAGGTAGAGGCATTAGATTAGAAACGTGTGCCATTCAGGGGATAGACCAAGGGCTGTGTGAAGAACACAATGGGAAACAAATCCCCACATTATCAACACAGCCCTATCAGTTCCCAGCCCGGAGGGTTTGAAGCAAATCATATGACCTCTCCAGACCTCTGCTTGTTTGAATGTGAGACGTAGCTGAGAGCTGTGCCTTTAAAGGTCTTGTGAGAGGGCTGGGGGAGGAGATAACAGCAAATAAAGGGTGTGATACTGGGCAGGAAAAAGAGCTGGGGATAGGTGTAAGGACCAGCCCTCCCCCTGTTGTATGCTGTATATAAAGGGAACTTGTGCAAGTCTGTGCGGGGAAGAACTGCCATTCATTCATTCATCCATTTTCTTTTGCTTCACACCATGAAAAACACTGCCATAGACTTCTAAGTCACTTTGCAAAACTATGAGAAAATTTCTTTGCCATCTTGTAGGTTTGGAAATTCTGGTCCATATGATACATATGCACATCATTTGTTGCATTGTCTACACATGTGAGATTTGTCCTCCCCAGTGACATTAAGCCCTCACTGTTCCCAGAGCTTGTGAGAATACTGACATCTTGTCTCCAGCAGCTGGATACTTCCCGGACTTCTGACTTTTTCCGGCAGCCAGGAAATTGGCATTTTACTATTGTTTCAATTTGTATTTGTCCCGTTATTCCAGAGCATTTGAGCAGGTTTCACATTTTACAATTAGGCCGAGAACAAAACCAACTGCACACTCTCTGTTTCTGATTTTCTGTTTTAGAAACAGGGTCTTACAGCAGAGGTAACTTGTTTGACCTGTCTCTAATCTCAAGGGTAAGACATCAGAATCTGTTTGCTCATATCAAGCTTGTGGGTTTACATTTCTTTTAGTTTATCATTGGTTTTTAGGCTTGGTTACATATACTTATTTTCTGTTTCTCTGTGTATCAGGCTAGCTCTATAGACAGGATGCTGGACTTTCTTTTTCTTTGGTCTAAGAATGGCTGTCTTCCTCTCTCCCTGCTTCCCTCTTCCCTTCCATTCTCTCGCTCCATGCACAGCATCTCTCTGAGTTGCTAGGCTGGTTCTGACCTTGCTATAGATTGGCTAATTGTTATTTTTTAGAGTTTGGGAACATTTGAAGATGCCTTTAGAAGATGCCAAGGAAACCAAACATGGTGGCACACGTCTTTAACCCCAGCATTTGGGAGGCAGAGGCAGGCAGATCTCTGTGAGTTTGAGGCTAGACAACTACATAGTGAGTTCCAGGACAGCCAAAGATATACAGAGAAACCCTGTCTCGAAAAACAAAAATTAAAAAAAAAAAGATGATAAAGAACTAATTAGATGTTGTAACGGCAATGGAGTTACATAAGGAAATGACCAAATTAGCAATGCACTCTGGAGAATGTTGGGGCGAAGGATATGTCCAATTCTGTGTAAGTTCTTCATCAAGCACAAAGGAAAATAGAGGAAAGACATATGCCACCACCCCCCATTTTTAAAAATCGGCATGACCGATATATGGAATTAATTTTACCACTACTTTTCCCTCTGTGCATTTTGATGATTTTCTTAACGACTGTTACAGATCCCTGGTAAACGTGGCTGGTGAAATGTCTCAGGGACTAAGAGAAAATGCTGCACAAATGCATGACTTGAGTTTGAATTCCCAGTACCAAGTGAAAACTTCGACGTGATTGTGTGTCCCTCTAAGTGACATTGAGGAACTGAAGCAGGTGGATCCTGTCTCAAGGCAACAGGACAGAGGAATAAAGAAGTCACACACAGAAAGATCCCTGGCAGCTGCTCCGGGCTCCACATGTACACTCGTGTGTGCATACCCAAATATTCATGCAGAAACCACACACACACACACACAACTCATGTTCATAAATCCTTGACAATGAGCTGTTAAATATTTGTGGTCTACTTTCAAAAATGAAAAATAAGAGTGATTTTACTTACACATTCTCCATCATGCATTTTAACTATGGTTCTGCCTTCATATCTGGAAAAAAATTATATTATGAAATGGTTATTTTTGTTCTGTTAGATGACATAAACCATGACCAACTCTTTCTTGGTAGTCTTAGGCAAAGCCAAGAAATATTTTGTTAATAACAGTGGATATATATATATAGTATATATAATGTATATTTTTATTTTGTGCGTATGTGTGTTTTGCCTGCATGTATGTCTGTGTATCCATGGAGGTCAGAGGAGGATGAGCCTACATTCTAGCTCCAGGCGATCCAATGACCTCTCCTGGCTTCCATAGGCACCTGTATTTACATGTCTCATGCTCATGTGTGTATGTGCACAAACACATACACACAACTAAAAATAAAGCAATCTGCTGGGCAGTGGTGGCACACACCTTTAATCCCAGCACTTGGGAGGCAGGGGCAGGCAGATCTGAGTTCGAGGCCAGCGTGGTCTACAGAGTGCATTCCAGGCCAGACTCCAAAGCTACACAGAGAAACCCTGTCTTGAAAAACCAACCAACCTTTTTCTCCAGACTCAAAAGAAAATAGCAGTAGTTAACCTGGTATACAATAGTCATGCCTATGTTAACGGGTGTACAATACTTATGCCTGTGTTAACAACTGGTGTGCAATGGGCAAAGGTATAGTTTGTATAGCAGTGATCACTTAAAGAACGAGGGAATATATACTATTTTCTCCTTCCTTCCTTCCTTCCTTCCTTCCTTCCTTCCTTCCTTCCTTCCTTCCTTCCTTTCTTTTGCTAAGACAAAGTTTCTCTGTGTAACCCTAGTGTCCTGTAGCTCACTTTATAGACCACGCTGGCCTTGAACTCAGAGAGCCTCCTGCCTTTGCCTCCTAAGAGCTAGGAATAAAGGCTTGCATGACCATGCTCAGTTAACATCTTTATCTATAATTGCTGTAAATGCAGATTGGATTGCTATAAAGTTTATTTGCAATCCCAGGGAAGCTGCTAAGAAAATATTTTAATTAGTTAATTAACTTATTTTTTTGAGAGAGAGAGTTTCTTTGTGTAGCACTGGCTATTCTAGTACTCACTGTGTAGACCAGGCTGGCCTTGAACTCAGAGACCTGCCTCTGCCTGGTGAGTGCTGGGATTAAAGGTGTATGTCGCCACCAACCAGAGAAAATATTTTATTATACTTATTTTTTATTTTGTTTGTTTTTTGAGATAGATTCACTACGCAGCTTTGGCTGGCCTAGAGTTTCCTACATAGACCAGGCTAGCCTCTAGCTCACAGAGATCTCCCTGCCTCTGCCTCCCCAGTGCTGGGATCACAGATGTACATCATGACACATTGAATGGTTGGGGTGTGGAACACAGGGCCTCACATATACCAAGGGGGAGTTCTACCACTGTGCTGTATCCACAGGTCAAGAAAAGAATTTACTTGTTTATTTAGTGCTTGTGTAGACGTGTGTGTGATGGATGTGTGTTCTGTCTACACATGTGTGTGTACAGGGACCTGCTTCTGTGTGTACATGTGGAGACCAGAGGAGACAGCCTGTTCTATATCATTTTACCTTATTCCCTCGAGATAGGGCCTCTCACTGATCCTAGAGCTCGGCTGGTGCTGACAGGCACCATAGCCCTGGGGTTACAGGCAAGAAAGCAGCCAAGCTTGGCTTCCTCGTGTTGGTGGTGGGCATTTGAACTCTGATTCATGCTGGGGCCACAAACACTTCCCCACAGAGCCATTTCCCCAATCCCTAATTTTGTTTACTCTAGCAGAAGTGAGTTTGCATATGGTTTGTGGTGCTGTGCCCCTCCCCGCTCCCCGCCCCCTGCTCTGTAACTGGCAGTTATCTGTGCCAGTCATTGAGGCTGACATACAAATGTTCTTCATAACTCTTTTATGGGTTCTTAGTGTAAACTTTCTTATTTATACAACCAAGAACATCAAACAAGGCTGATTCCTATTGGCCAAACATCTCTCATACTGACCAAGATTATTCTTTTTCTTAAAGAAGACTAAAACAGGGCGAATGTTTGACCAGTCTCATGTTATTCTTCTTTTCTCTTAAGATACTGGGGACCAGGCAGTGGTGGCACATACCTTTAGTCCCAGTACTTAGGAGACAGAAGACAGACAGAGTTCGAGGCCAGCCTGGTCTACAAAGTGAGTTTCAGGATAGCCAGGGCTACACAAAAGACCCTTGTGTTCAAAACAAAACAACCCCAAAAAGCAAACACACAAACAAAAGATGTTGGCTTAACTGGGGAATATTACACAAGATATGGATTTCCTTCCTCAAGAAAACAGCTTCTGTGTGAGAATTCCCTCACTTCTGTTTGTAGGTTCCTTAATGCAGACTTCTGTGCCTTGGACCAAAGAGTTGGGCATTTTGCACAGGTGTTACAAAAGCTAAATGTCACTGGCCCCAAACTAAACCACTGACAGGATGAACATTAAAAAAAAAAAAAAAAGGGCTGGAGACATGGCTCAGCAGTTAAGAGCACAGCCTGCTCTTCCAAAGGTCCTGAGTTCAATTCCCAGCAACCACATGGCAGCTCACAACCATCTGAAATGGGATCTGATGCCCTTCTGGCCTGCAGCATACACACAGAATATTGTATACATAATAAACAAAATAAACAAATATTTTTAAAAAAAGTTGTTTTGGGCTGGAGAGATGGCTCAGAAGTTAAGAACACTGACTGCTCTTCCAGAGGTCCTGAGTTCAATTTCTAGCAACCACATGGTGGTTCACAACCATCTATAGTGAAATCTGGTGCCCTCTTCTGGCATACATGAAGGCAAAATACTATATACATAATAAATAAATAAATCTTTAAAAAAAGTTGTTTTGGGGAATAATATTCATTTAAAGAGCAATAAACCATTCATTGGGAAAATTCCTTACCCAACTTCTTCCTCCCCATTTTCCTCCCCTTCCTTCTCTACCTTTTCTTCCCCCTCCTCTTCCTCCTTTTTTTTTGCCATCTCCCTTCATCCTCCTCTTCTTTAAGAACTGTTTTCGTCAAATTGTATGTACAGGTGTGTGCTTGTGTGTATGCATGGGTCTGTGTGTGCTGTGGTATTATGTGGAGGTCAGAGGACAAATTTTGGAGTGTAGGACCTGTCCTTCCCCCAAGGCTCAGACTCCAGTCTCAGGCTTGGTGTCAAGTGCCTTTACCTGCGGAGCCACCTCACCGGCCTCTCTCCTCAGCAGGCTGTTCTCTGGCCAGATGAGCCAACTGGACTACCGTCACAGGTCACATGGTGTGAATGCTGCCCCTGCTTGCTACTGCGTTCCCTCCAGTTGGTCTTTGTCTGCACCAGACACTGCACTCTGACCTCTGTGGTGTGCTGTTTGTGCATCGCTGACATGGAATCCCATTCAGCTTTGAGGAGCAGGAGGAGAAAGGGAAGAAATGGAGAAGCAAGTAGTGGGGGAGGGGCTAATGGAAGAGAGAAGAGCTAATGGCTGAGGCAGGGATAACAAAATGGAGACTTACAGAATTCTGGAGCAGAGATGGCACTCGCCGCTGTAGGTAACTTGGTCACTGGCACATATAGGCTCGCTGGGCTTGAAGTAGGAAAGCATCCAGCATTTCCTGACGTTCTTGTTGCACAAGTCCTGAAGTGAGACACAACACCTCCAGGTCCTTTGTTACAGGTAACGGGCAACGGGCAAGGATGGCGCAAGGAACACGGGGCCAGGAGTTTTTTTTTTTTTTTTTTTTTTTTGGTTTTTCAAGACAGGGTTTCTCTGTAGCTTTGGTGCCTGTCCCGGAACTAGCTCTTGTAGACCAGGCTGGCCTCGAACTCCCAGAGATCCGCCTGCCTCTGCCTCCCAAGTGCTGGGATTAAAGGCGTGCACCACCACCGACCGGCTAGGCCAGGAGTTTAGACAACAGGCTTCAGATTCTCCACATTTCTCCTGGTCCTTGCCATTGACACCTGCACGACTGTAGATGTGCATTCCCCAGCCTCCCACCAGGTCCTTCTGAGGAAGAAGTCTCTGTTGGACAGACCACAAACTGTGAGCGTTATGGTACCGAGAGCAAGAGCTGGGAAATGTCTTTCCAAACAGGCGTCTCTGGAGCCGGAGAGGCGACTCAGCACTGGCTGCTCTTCTAGAGGAACAGAGTTTGGGTCCCAGCTCCCATATGAGATGGCTCAAAGCTGCCTGTAACTCCAGCTCCAGGCTATCCAGGACTCTCTTCTGGCTCCATGGGCACCTACCTATACATATGTGGCATACATCCTCATAGACACACATAAATTAAAATAAAATTTTAAGAAAAAAAGAAAATTTCTAAAAATGGAGATTTCTTCTTTCAATTTTCTTTTTGTTGTTTTTTTCCTTTTTTAGAAAAATATTTAACTTTATTTTATGTGTATTTGGTATAAAGGCATCAGATACCCCAGAACTGGAGTTACATGAGATACCATGTGGGTGCTGGGAATTGAACCTGGGTCCTCTGGGAGAGCAGCCAGTGATCTTAACTGCTGAGCCATCTCTCCAGACCCTCCTTTTCTTTATCTTATTTTATTATTATTTTTGTTTTGTTGTTTGTTTTGTGACATGGTTTCTCTGAAGTTTTGGTGCCTGTCCTGGAACTCACTCTGTAGACCAGGCTGGCCTCAAACTCACAGAGAACCTCCCACCTGTGCCTCCTCAGTCCTGGGACTAACAGTGTGTGCCACCATGCCTGAAAACATTGGAATTGCTTTTGAGCATTGGTGAATGACTTACAGTCTGTGCTCAAACTTGTCACAAGGGTAAGATGTAGAGCTGACAGAGAGGGCATCACGGGGTTTGGAGTGAGGGTGACACACACAAGTCCTGGATATCACCACGGAAAGAATGTCCATAGCAGCGTGGGACCAACCTGAATTCTGTTTTTGTTTTTCAAGACAGGATTTGTCTGTGTAGCCTTGACTGTCCAGGAATGCTCTGTGGAGCAGACTGGCCTTGAACTCAGAGACCCGCCAGCCTAGCCTCTGTCTCCCGAGTACGGGGATCAAAGGCTTGCACTACTGCCACCTGACTGGGACCAACCTGAATCTGAACCATGATTTCCTCATGCATTTAGTGGTGGTTATTACAGGAGGCTTGCAGATTGGAGTAATGTATAGGAAGAATCCCCAGGGACAACCAAATGAGCTGCACACACGCTGAGACTCTCTTATGATCGTGGTGTTCCCAGGCAAGCCCTTCCTGCTCCCCACCTCCCAGGGACCTGGGAGGGAAACTGACTCTCCATTCCTATTCTTGGGAACCTGGGAAGTGGAGCTCACCTTTGTCTCCCGGAAGACCTCATCGGTCACGTGAGGGCTCATAGGGAGAGAGAAATCTGGAAGACAAAAGCATACACATGGGACAGTTATTGCCCTGTCTGTGTCCTCAGGGAAAAGGCTAGGTGACCGTGGCTTTGCCTGTCATTCAAGAGCATCTCGTTCCATCATTCGAGCCCAGGGTTCCCATTTAGCACAGGCTGGCCTCTACAGGAATGAAGAGAGTCAGGAGGCTCCTGCCTCTTAGTGAAGTAGAGACCTGGCCATGCCCTCCATGCTTCATGGGTAAATAACTTTCCAAAAGCTTTAGGTTTCTTGTCTTTCTTTCTTTCTTTCTTTCTTTCTTTCTTTCTTTCTTTCTTTCTTTCTTTCTTTCTTTCTTTCTTTCTTTAAGACAGGGTTTCTCTGTGTAGCTTTAGACTCCGTTTCCCCGAACTCGCTCTGTAGACCAGGCTGGCCTCGAAATCACAGAGATCCGCATATCTCTGCCTCCCAAATGCTGGAATTAAAGGTGTGCACCACTACCACCCAGCCCTCATCATTTTTTAACATTTTTAAAATTTGTATATATTCATTTTATGCAGTACTGGGTGCATAAAGACATTTTTACATACTCTGTGAGGCTGGAGAGATGGCTCAGCAGGTAAAAGCCCGTATTACTCTGGCAGAAAACCAAGTTCAGTTCTCAGCTCCTACAGGGTGGCTCACAACCATCCGTAACTACAGTTCCAGGGGGCCTGACACCTTTTTCTGGCCTCTAAAAGCAGTGCCCAAACACACTGCACGTATGAAAGCAGTGCCCAAACACACTGCACGTATGAAAGCAGTGCCCAAACAGTGCCAGTTCCCACATACACACATTCAGGCAAAACATTCATGCAAGTAAAATAAATATCAAGGGAAGTTCTTTGACAACATCCCTCCCTGTACCCTCCATTCTTTTTCTTTCCTCCTCTCCTCTGACAGCTAGTTCCATTTGTTCTCCTAGATGGCCTGCCCTGCCTCCTTCTTCTTTCTTCAGGGTCTTATATAGTCTAGGCTTAGTGTGTAGCCCAGGGTGCTGCCTCTATCTCCTGAGTGCTAGTATTTCAGATGTGTGCCTCTATGTCCAGTGTATGTGGTGCTAGGGATGGAGTCCGGGGCGTTGTGCATGCTAGGGTAGCACTCCAGCAACTGAGCCACCCTCAAACCCCCCACCTGTGTTTTCTTTAGTTGTTTAGGAAAATATATTTTAAGTTATAAGTTGTCTGTAATAATAATACTGAGTGCCACAAAAGACGATGAGTTCCACTACCTTACACACTCAATCCAAAGCATCTTTGTGTTGTGGGATAATCTTGTACACTGTGAAGAGGTCTCTTTGCCAAGGCACCTACTGATTGGTTTAATAAAGAGCTGAATGGCCAATAGCTAGGCAGGAGATAATAGGCGGGACTTCCAGGGAAAGAGAGAGGAACTGGAGATGAATCTAGGTTCACAAGACATGCCATGAGATGCAGACGTATAGAATCGGAGAGAAGGAAAAGCCACATGGTAGAACATAGCTTAGTGGAAACAGGTTAATTTGAGTTATAAGAGCTAGTTAGGAATATGCTAAGCAAACGACCAAATATTCTTTTTTTTTAAATATTTATTTGTTTATTATGCATACAATATTCTGTCTGTGTGTATGTCTACACGCCAGAAGAGGGCACCAGACCTCATTACAGATGGTTGTGAGCCACCATGTGGTTGCCGGGAATTGAACTCAGGACCTTTGGAAGAGCAGGCAATGCTCTTAACCACTGAGCCATCTCTCCAGCCCCCATGACCAAACATTCTTAATGAATAATGTCTTTATGTCATTATTTGTGGACTGGTGGTCCCAGAAAGGAAGGTTTGACCACATGTCTGCAATCATATGTACACTTTAATCCCAGAGGCAGAGGCAGGCAAATCTCTGAGTTTGATGTCAGCCTGGTCTACAAAAGCTAGTTCCAGGACAGGCTCCAAAGCTCCAAAGCTCCACAGAGAAACCCTGTCTCGAAAAACCAAAAAAAAAAAAAAAAAAAAAG